CCCTGCTCCTTAGGCTCCTGCCTGTTAGGTTGCTTGTGAGGAGTAGCTGATGCCTATTCCACAGGACTGTAGGGGGGCGCTGCGCCATGCCTGGCCCGTCACAGATGTCCACACCCTCTCTGCCCTCTTGGGAGGCTTCTCGGGGCTGCTCCCACTCAGCCCTGCAGTGTGGTTCTGCCGTTCCCTGCCTGCGCTTCCTTTTCTCCCTTGACTTCTGGCCCGGGCCTCGGTCCTTTGCTGCTGCCCCTGGGCATTAGTGTTCTCTGCTCTGAGGTGCGAAGCAGCCTCCCCCAAGCCTCCCTCCCTGCCTACTCCGCTCAGATCTACCTGGGTTTTGTACAGGAAATTAAAACCACTCTGAGAATTTTCATCACAAACAAGATAGTCCATGCCCTCAGATGCACTGGAGACTTAGAACCTGGGACTTTAGGAGCAAACCTGTCCGGCAGACAAAGAACACCTCACCCACAGCCTGGAGCCATCCTTGGAGCTGGAGTTCTGTTCGCCTGGACTCAGGGAACCACTATGGCTTTCACCTCAGCTGCCTCTCATGCCCCTTTCCTGAGCAGAAATCCCAGTGCTGACTCTGCTGTGGAGAAAGAACCCCTCCCTCCTCACCATGCCAAAGCGCAGCCTGAGAGCCAGGGTGTGGCCTCACCTCCCTTCCGCCTTCTCAGTGCATCTGCAGGGCGTCTCACCAATAGACCCTGACCTGTGCCCAGACCCCAGCTGCATGGAGAGTTGGAAATGTAGGCTTTAGCTTTCCAGCCCCTGCAGAATAGGCTGGCGTGCTGCAAAAAGTCATGAGTACTGAGGGCACCCAAACGATGCCTTAAGAGACTTGGCACAGTGCTTGACACATGGAACTCACTCAGTAAATGTCAGCTGTCCATCTCATTCTTAGTCGTGGGCTGGGGACCAGTGAGCCAGGCCTGGTCCTGCCCACAAGCCCTGGCAGAGAGGAGACTCCATGGAAGGGCTGCGTGGAGCTGTCCGTCGTGCTGAAAGCCCTGCCGCTGGGCCTGGTGGCTCTGGATAGCTCACACAGTGGCTGGGTGCAAGGTGGGCTTAAGTCCAGGAACCCAGGCTCAGGACTGGGAGGCCATCTGGGGGCTTCAGAGGGAAGACCATCCTCAATCCTAGGAAATGGATAACATTTGTGACGCTCACAGTTTACAAAATGATCTCTGAATCACTCTGGAGTAGGCAAACTAGACACAGTGGCATCCACTGTGAAGGAAAGAAAACTGAACCACAAGATGTTAAATGGCAGCTAACAAAAAACAGAGCCAAGTTCGCATCCGCCCTCCTCTGCTCCTTGCTGTGACTTGGGGATGGAGACTCGGAAGCCAGTCATGTGCAGCGGGTAGGCAGAGCCCAGGACTCAGGGACTCTGTGCATGCTTGACAGAAGTATGCACATCAGCATCAGCCTTTCCGGCCCCTATGTGTGGCACTGGATGAAGGACTACCTGCTGGTCAGCTGGGGACAGGCATGGAATGCAGAAGAAAAAAGCCTGGTCTTGCTATCAAAGATCCATGAGGAACTGTCTGCTTGTGTGTGTGCAAAAATAATAAGATTGTGCCTGGAGTTGGTAAGAAAGGCCAGCTGTGTCAAGGGGGTGTGGGCAAGGGTCAGCCGGGCCCAGCATCTGCAGGCAGGCTCCGGGGAGGGAGATGTGAGCTAGACTGCAAATGTTAAAGAGCCCAAGGCTCCAGTGGGGCTCCGAGGAAGCAGCGCAAGCTCTGTAAGGGAAGGAGATCAACTCTGGGACATGTGGCAGGCAGCAGGACAGCGGGCAGGCTTGGTGTCCCACAAAGAAGTGACCAGGTCAGGCCTCCAAGATAGAAGGAGAAATGCAGAGCTCAGAGCTCCTCATGAAGATGATATGAGCCACGTCCCCACCGACCCTGGGCCCTCAGGAGGGGAGGAAAGGAGCCCTAGTGTGCGAGGCCACTGCAGCATGCTTTGTGAGGCGCCGACCTATCTTAGCTTAGCCTGGAGTCTCCCCATGTGCTCTCCTTTTTTAGGCAGAATTAGGAAGCTTGGAGTCTTGAAGAGCTCCTAGATGCAGATTAGGAAGCTTAAGGGGATGGTGCTCCATCCTGGATGCACCCAGGAACTGACTGCAGGTCCTCATTCTTAATGTGCGGAGATGGGTCGCGAGTTTCTGGATCTCTCACTAAGCGCCTTCGAGCTGACTCTGCCCTTCCCAGCCTGAGACATCATTGGTTGCAGACTGGATCAGAAAACCCAAATCCTCACCTCAGAGCCACCCTCCTCCCAGCTTCAGGCAGGTGTCATCTGGTATAACGTCGGTGTCTTCATGTGTAAAGTTGAGAAGCCAGGCTTGGTCGTGAAGATCTGAGGAGATGGAGGACAGGTTGGAGCACTGCTATTTAGGGGGTAATTCAAGGCCAGCTGGTAAGGCTGGTATGGATGGCCATGGACCAGAACCCCTCAGCCTTGGGGGGCCAGTGTGGCCCTTTAGCAGTGAGGGTGAAGCGAAGCCCTTGGGCTCACTTCCTGGATAGGGGCAATGGGGGGAGGAAGAAGAGGCCAGGAAGAGCACAGGGCAGGAGGTGCCTATGGCAAGGAACTCCATTCTGGCTACATCCAGAACCAAGGGAGATGGTCTTTCCTATTATTCATGAGAAGGTGACAACGCATTATTGAAGAGCCAAAGAAGGCCAGATGGAATGCGGGCGGGGCAGGAGCTATGGCTTTGTGTGTGGCTGGGGGGTAAGGTGGGGGAAGAGGGGGTGGCTCCAACCTGCAGCCTTTTCTCCTGGGACAAAGCCTGTGATTATAATAATCCTCTCATCTGGACCAGAAGGCAGGCCTTATGGGCCAGTTCCTGTGAACTCTTGGGGCTTGTGGGCCCAGGGCAGTGCTGGGAGATGCAGCTGGGACCCCTGGCCTGGTCCCCATTTGCAGTGCATCACTCTGAAAGGCCAGGAGGGCTCTGACTCTGGACTGGGGCTCCCGCAAGGTCACCCTCTCCTCTTCCCTTGCCCTGCACTGCTAGCCTCCAGAGGCTTCGAAGGCCAGGAGACAGAGGCTGTAGGTTGTGAAAGTGCTGGGTTTGGGGGCCAGCCCTGCACCATGACCTTGGCTGTGCTCTCTAACTTCTTTGTGCCTTAATTTTCTCCTTCATCAAGGAATGATTTGGGCGCCCTAGGGTAAGGATTAAATGAACAAGTGCATAAGTGAAAACTCTAGTCCACAGTAGGAAGTCAGGAAATTTTAGCTGTTTATTTGTTTATATTTTGAGACAGGGTTTTGTTGAGTCACTGCATTGTCAGCCTGGGCTCAAACTTGTGGTCCCTCTACCTCAGCCTCCAAAGGTGCTGGGACTGCAGGTGTGTGCCACACTGCCTGGCTAACCAACTGGCATGGCTACCATGCCCCACCCTCCTTGGCCCCAAGTGAGACTGACACTTGTTTCTGTTTCTTTTCTTTTTTCTTTTTTTTTCTTTTTTGCAGAACCAGGGATTGAACTCAGGCCCTTGTGCTTACCAAGGAAGCGCTTATTCCACTGAGCCATCTTCCTGGCCCCTGTTTGTTTCTTATGTACAGAAAAAACAGAAGCAGTGACTGCCCGGTGGCTGCAGTCTGAGAGACAGAGGACAGTCCTTCCCACCCCCACTTCTCTCCTCTTGCCTGCCCAGAATATCAAAGGAAGGCACCTGGGGAGGTCCAGTCTGGGCCCCTTCCCAGTTCACAGGGGAGCTGATGGCGACTGGTCGCACCGCTTGGGTACTTGCGGAGCACTGTGCAGAGGGAGGGTGTGAGTGATCGGACTCATTTTCACAACAGCACCATTAGCCAGGGCTGCTACTGTTCCCCACTTCCCAGGGGTGAGCCTTAGGTTCAGAGAGGTGAAGCCACTGCCCATGGCCACAGAGCTAGCCAAGGTGGGTCTGACATGAGACAGCTCAGTTCTCCTTGTCTTCTACCCCGACAGCCTCCTTGTCTTCTGCTGTGAAACACATGCCCACAGAGACACATTTCCTGGCTTCCGCTGCTCTGGGCCAGGGTGGCACCCCTGCAATAGCTTCTTGTAGCCCCTTTAAGTTTCAAACTTCATCTTTTCTAGCCCCCATGACTGTGTGTCCAGAGAGTCAATTTCTGTGCTTTCTGCCTCCCTCCTTCACACTGAGAGCCAGCTACAGACCCCCACCTTGTAATCCAGCTACTTGGGAGGCTGAGGCAGAAAGATTATTAGTTCTAGTTGGGTTGGGGATGTAACTCACTGGTAGAGCCCTTGCCTAGTGTGTGTGAGGCACTAGGTTCCATCCCCAGAGCCCTCCCCCGCACCTAACCAGAACTAGCTCTCCATTCAGAAGGCAGGTCTCAAGGTGCAGATTGAAAAGCTGACTGCTGCTCTGAGTTTCCATGGCAACAGCCTCCCTCATTACTGTCTGCCTGTTGCCTGAGACTGCTGGGGAGGGCGGTGAGGTGGAGAGGGTGAGGTACTCTCTGTCCTGCAGGCCAGCAGTCAGGTTAAACAGAAACCCTGCACCCCGCCAACCTGGATAGAATACCAGGCATCATGGTAGCCCGGGCCACTAGCACCCCTTTCCCCAAACCCCAAAGCTGTGAGCTCACTGTGGAGAGTTCCTGCCGGCCAGGTGGGTGGGTGGAGGGGCCAGCGATTCATGCTGCCCTCCGGGTACGACCCAGATGCTGTGCTCAGTCTGGGTCTTTGTCCATAGGGTTCCCTCCGCCCACCCTCGCCCTTGCACGGTGCTCACCCCCGTGCCTTCACATCCCAGCTTTGGGGCGCGCCATCAAAATTCAGAATGTGTGCTCCTCAGAAGGCACCATTAAGAAAAAGAAAAGGCAAGCAGCGTACTAGAGAAACTGCAGCACACACACGATAAAGGGTGTGCACCTGAACCTAAACTGAGGCCTTTAGAAGCTCTGATGAGGCTTCCAAACAGGGTGTCGGGGGCCCCTAAGCCTGTAATGTCTCCACTGTCTTTGTTCCTTCACAGCCCTGTAGCTGGCTGGAGCCTCCAAGCCTGATTAGGTCTTCCCTGGAAATCTGATTCAGGTAAGAAGTCTCAGGCTCATAAGAAGACCCGCGGCTCCTCCCCACACCTTCCATCACCACCTGCTGTGGCGCGGGCTCCCCCTCGTGGGCACCAGCAGAACTGTAACTTCCGGCCGTCGCTGACCTCAGCGGCGTGCTCCGCCCAAGCTGCAAAGAGCCACCGTTGCCATCGCTGTCCTGTGAGGCGCCGGCTGGCAGGCTTCCTGATCAGATGCGCAATGTTCAGTCACACACGCTAGTGAGTTAGCTCATCAGCGAGCTAGGGTAGAGATAGTGAAACCCCGGGCAGCCTCGGCAGAACAAGAGGGAGGCAAAAAGCAGGGCGACCTAAAAAGGTAGGCACGAGACTCCCTGTTCCTGTTAGATGCTCATCTCATGAGAGGGATGCGAGAAGTTCTCATGTTACTCCTTTTCTGGGACCAGTCTCTATACCCTTTGTCGCTATTTTGTGGGTGATCCAAAGGGAGCCCACCTCTTCCCCATTCTCGAACCCTTTTGTCTTCATGCTCTTCTCCATTCTCACTGCCCAACCCTCCCTAACTGGGGAGAGCAATTGTGCTGCATCCCCAGGGACCCCACACCCCTTTCTCCGCGTACCAGTGTTCTGTGCTGCTTCCTGTGGTCCAGGCGTTGTTCTGTGTGATCAAGTCTTAACTCCTACGCAGCCCTGGGAAGAGGGAATGGGTGGCTGTCACCACCCGCTTTTGATCGAGTAGAGTGAGTTATGGAGACCTTAAATACCTGGCTCAATGTCACCTGGCCAGTGAGTTCGAGCTGGGATCCATCACTCACAGCCCATAATGCACAGAAGCGCCAGCTCTTGAGCCTGCGTCTTCTGCCTGGGAGCTGGAATGGGAGACTCCTTGGACTTAACCTGGAGACTGTCTCCCCAACACCCTGGTCTCAGGGGTGCAGAGATCTTTCTTGCTCCTCTATGCAACTTCCAGGCTCTTCTCCCAGTCCAACCCCAGGCTTAGACCAGGGGGTGTCAACCTAGATAGTCTCCCTGCTCAGCGTCTCCTCAGTGAGGCTGCTGCCGAGCACCATCTTAACAGGTCTGACCTCACCTCCCTGTGTGTTGCTGCCCGCTGCGGGCCCACGTGGAAGGGCTCACCGGTGTGTCACCAGCCAGTGCTCACCATAAGCCTGAATGGGTGAATGAGCCCACTTCTCTTGAGTGGGAGTGAAGAGACCAGGGGAATTCGAGGTCTGGGGCTAAGTTAAAAGTTCCTGGGAGTTCACTGCAACCTTGTAGGTCCGTTCAAGTAGCTACCAGTTGCCTCCTGTTTTCACCCACTTTTTTTTTTTCCTTTTTCTTCTTCTTTTTGGCTAGCTCAGCCCTCCCTGAGGGCAGGGCTGGAGTGGCATGTGGTGCTGGGGATTGAGCTGAGATCCCCTGCGCCTGCCTAAGCTTGGCTAAGCAGGCGCTTTACACCACTGAGCTATCTTTCCAGCCCCACCGTTTTCACCCACTCTTATCCGTGCCTGAAAAGCTCTGATCTGAGTTGCCCCAAGACGCCCAGCCTGGAGGAATGGGCTCAGGTCCCAGGACAGGGCTGGTCTGCCTGGCTGCAGGGCAAGATAAGACAGGGCCGTTTACTGAGTCACGGCTCAGTGGCAGGTACTCTGCTGCCTCTTCAGGGACTCTAGCTTTCCCCGGAAATAGGATCAGAGAACTGAAGAATCGTTTGCATGGAGATTGTGTGAACAGAGTGGTTCAGCCTTCCAACCTGAACTGTTCCATCTCGGCGTGTGATCCCTCTTTGTGAGATCTTTTCATTTATGCACAAGAAAAATTCCACAGGAGAGCAATAGGAAGGCCCATTTGGATATGCATTTGGCAACTCTTTTTAAAAGGGATAAAATGGTATAAAATAAGATTTCTACCGGGGAATCTGAGCTGCTGTCACAGTCCTGGGACTAAGGCAGCTGCCGTCTCACAGTGCCATCCTATGGGCACCTCCTGCCTTCCAAAGACAGTTCCGAGGGCAGCTCTTATCCCCAGGTCTGGTGTGCTCAGGCCCAGCCTGGTACTCATCCTGAGGTGCCCCGGTGGCCTTCTGTGTTCTGCAGGGTGAGGAGTGGTCCTCACTTTGACCTGGAGACCCCTCTGCCCATAGGGAGGCCCTCAGGATGTCTGCCTCACCGGGGGGCCAGAGCCCGGATTCGAAGGTACTCAACATGACAGTGGACGAGTGCTTCCAGAATCGGAACACCGTCCTCCAGGGACAGCCCTTCGGGGGCATCCCCACCGTGCTGTTTCTCAACATCGTCTTGTGGGTGGTGAGTGCTGCGTGCATTGGGGACACATGGCGAGGTCTTAGCCAGGGTGGGCTACTGAGCTGTTACAAGAGATATGCTGGGGGCTGCGGCTGTCCTGATGGGCGCTGGCCACAGTGATGCAAACGCCCTGAATGCCAGCCCTGCCTGGGATGGCCCAGGTGGGTGGCCCTGGGGTGGAAGGTGCTGGAGGAGCAGGCAGAATCCTTGAGGTTCTCATCCACAGACTGGCCTGGACATCCACCTGGCCAGGACCCTTGGGGCCCCTTTACTTTCCCCTTGTGGTACTTCCCAGAGGCCTTCTCATCACTAAACAACACTCAGCCAACTGAGTACCTGCTCCGTGCCAGGAGGTTGCTGGGGCTGGGAATGCAGTCAAAGGGGTACACCTTCCCAGCAGCCCTTACTGTGTGGTGGGGTGCACCTGGGAACTTCCTGGGGTCTCATGGGAAGGCAGGGGTGACCCAGGAGAAAGCATCAGTGAACTCTGTGATCCATGTTGCTTTTTCTGGCTCGTAGGTTGTCCTTTTGGTTTACTCCTTCCTCCGGAAAGCCGCCTGGGACTATGGGCGCCTGGCCCTGCTGATGCACAATGACAGGTGAGGGGGGCAGGGTCAGGTGGTGAGCTGTGACCAGGATGTGGCTGTGCCCGTGCCCAAGCTGCAGCAAGAGTGTGTTCCACTGATGCCCCTGCTCTTCCTGCCCTGTAGGAAGGACACTTGGAAGGCAGCCATCTCTGGGCACAAGACCACATTTTTCTTGGGCCTCAGAGACTGGCCTCCAAGGATGCATTGAGCACTAGGCAGCAGAGGCGCTGCCGTCTGCACCATAGGCTGCATGTCCAGCAAAGGAGCTGAGGCTGTGGGCTGTAGCCGCCCCCAGTCCTCGGCCCCCCGGGGGGGGGGAGCGGCAGAGGCATCTGAAGCCCTCTCTCTCCTTTTCTGTCCCCTGCCACCCTTCCTGGCTGGCAGCCTGACCTCACTGATCTATGGGGAGCAGAGTGAGAAGTCGTCTCCCTCGGAGATTTCCCTGGAGATGGAACGCAGGGACAAGGTGAGTGCTGGCAGTGGCTGGGACCTTGGGGTACCTTGGTCCTGGACCGGCAGTCATGGTGGGCACAGGACAGAACAGGGTCTAGGCAGAGGCTTGGAGTCAGCTCAGCTCTGCCACTTCAGCACTGGGGCTAGAGACCTGCTGTGTTGCAGTCCTGGGACCCAGAGACAAGCAGCAAGCACAGTGGACCAGTCTTGCCTTGTGGGATGACCGGACAGAGCCATTTAGGATGGCGATGAGTGTGATGGAAAACAAATAGGACAAGGAGGGCTGTTGGCAGCATGCTGTGTTGCAGGTGGTGATTGGGGTGGCCTTAGACAGCAGATGACATTTGAGTGGGGACTGGAATGCAGTGGCAGGAAGGGAGGAGGACTCTGGTTGTGGCGCCCACACCACCTCACCCCTCCCAGCTGGCCTGACAGTGGCCTGTGCTTTGCGGCCCCCTCTTCCTCCCCTCAATGTGAAGTGTTCACCTGTCTCGCTCTAGCAAAGCTCCATGGCCACCCGTGGTCTCTTGCCTCCAGATACATTGGGCTTTCTTCAGCCTCCTCTTGCCCATTTCTCGGAAATGTCTGACCACAGCTGCCCCACGGGTGCTCCTGGTTGCCTCATGGTGTTGGGCCCCAGGTTGTTTTCTTTGGTCTCAGTCTCCTTTACACACTCCGCCTCCACACACACAGTCCCCCAGCTGAGCCCAGGCGTCTCCCCTCCCACTGTCCACTGTCTGTCCTTGATTCATTGGCCACCACTACACCGCCACCTCTCCGTGTCCACCCCCGGCTAAGCCTGCGGCCTTCGTCAGTTTCTTGCTGTGGTGACCGAAGCAGCTCTCGTTCATCCCAGCAGCACCACACTCGCCCTATCCCATTCACTTTGCATCCAGAGCCATCCCGTGACTGAGGACACAGATGCCCCTGTGCAAACCTTCAGTGTCTCCCGAATGCCCTGAAACCAATTGCAGACACCATGCCACGGCCTGGCACTTTGCTCTATTGTCCTCTGTCCAGTCTGCTTCACTCAACTCCTACATCCCCAACCACACTGGTCACCTTCGAAATCCTCAGCAGTGCCACCTGCTTCCCACTGTAGACCCTTTCCCAAGCTCCCCCCCTCTCTGCTCACCATGGTCCCCTCTGTCGCCCCCATGATTGGTTCAGATTTCAGCCAGGCACTGGTTCCCTGGGAGACTTGGCAACTGGCCAGAAAAATTCCTTTTCTTGAACCCCTTGATCCTGGCCCATCCTAACCCCTCATCTGCAAATCAGTCTGTGTCTGCCCCCCACCCCCAGGCCCCCCTGTGGGTGGCAGAGCCTGAAGCGCTCATCGCCCTGTCCCAGTCCCTAGTCCAGGCTGTTGCAGTTAGCCTCTGCTCCACATTTGTAGCAGCAGATTAGTAGACAGAACCACATTCCTTCCATTGTCACCTCTGCTGGCCAGGCTCTTCCCTGCTCTGCCTCAGGCAAGTTACTGGGTTGGCTGGGAGCCCAGTGAGGGGACAGGGTGATGCCTCCAGGTGAAAACTGGGCTAACTTTTAGGCACAAGCTGTGGTCTGTCTTCCTTTCTCTCCAGTGGCAAAAATATTATTTTATTTTTAAAAGTCTGAGAAGAGAGATGCTGGTATAGTACAAAGGATCAAAATCCAGCTAGGAAAGGAGGCACAGGGAGGTGGCCTGGGGGTACTCAGTGGGGCCTGGGTCTGAGCAAGTGGCCTGAGCGAGTCAGCACAGGGGTGTCATTCCTTACCCTCAGCTGGTGAGGACAGGGCGTGGAGGGGTGAGAGGGGCCCAGGAGTTGAGCACCATCACCCGGTCTCCTGAGCAGAGCTGGCTCCTGGGAACCTCTGGCCCTTTCCTTCCTTCAGGTCAGGGAGGAGAGGTGAGCAGGGCATGTGTGGCTGCCTTCCAAACCCCACTCCCTTCTGAGGAGATGTCTCCCTCAGCACAGCCCCTGATGCCACACGGAGCCTCAGGCCCCTCCTAGATGCTGCCGCAGGTCCCGACAGCTGGGTGGGGCGGCCGGGGGCCTCTCACACTCTCCTCTCTCCACAGGGCTTCTGTTCTTGGCTGTTCAACAGCTTAACCATGAAGTAAGTGCCTGTGTTCTCTGAGCCTGTGACGGTGTGGCCGTGGGGGTGGAGTCAGTGGTGAGAAGTATCAGCCTGGAGCCCTGTACCATCCACCTCCGGCCTCACCTGTGCTGACAGGGCTTCCCCGAGGCCCAGCTGGAGAATGGGAACTGGACATAGGCCCAGGCCCCCCTTCCGTGGGGAAGAAGCTCTGTAACAGCCGAACCATTGCGCCCCTGCTTATAAACTCGAGTCTGTGAACTGCCCACCGGGAAAGAGCCTCTCCTGCATGCTCTTTGCTTGTTTGTATGCTGTGGGCATCATCAGCACGTTTGTCAAGAGGAGCAAACATGGGACAGAAGGGCGGGCTTCCTCTCTGCACAAAGAATGGTCTCTGCCCACCTCACCTTCAGGTTTCCTAAAGTGTGAAATTCCACTCAGCAAGGATGAGGGCCCCCGCACACCTGCCTCCTGTGCCCCCAACACCGGGAGGTGATCTGGCTGGGCATTAGCAGAAGACTCAGCCTTTGCTGCCTGGACACGCGTGCCTATTCCCTCACAAGTGCATGCATGCGCACATGTGCGCACACTCACCCTGATGCGCTCAGAGACCCGCATGATCCTGGGTCCTCATCTGCCCTGCCCTGCCATCCTTCAAACCCCTCTTGCTTGGAGACAGCTGCTTTAGGGTCTGGCCTCACTGCTTCTTGGAGGCCACATGCCCTGGGGGCCTATTATTTCACTTCCTGAAGAAGCAAAGGCCAATAAGGCTCTATGTAGCATTTATAATGAGGAGTTATAATTTGCTATACAAAGAGCACCAGGAAAAGAACAAATTCCAACTGGAACTTTCAGGAAAAATGTAGTATTGAGCTGAGCTATAAAGGATGGGAGGAGTTGTGACAGGACTGACGTGAGGTCATCCCGGAAGTCAAAGGTTTGGGGGAGAAGTGAGCAAGAAATATCCTAGTCATTTTCATTTAAAGGATTAAAATGAACAACTCTTGAAGTTGCACCTCCTTATCAGAGAGCTGTGCCCAGTGCCCACACCCTAGGAGGTCCTCAGAGTATTTATTAGCAGAGGTAAAGGAAGGGTGACCGAGGCCCAATTTTGAAAATGCATCCGCTTCCCATGTGTGCCTGGAGAGTGCAGCCTCTCTTTTCCATGCATCTGGGAAGCTTGTTGGCAGGCACTTCAGGGGCCTTGAGAGGAAGGGCCGTGTTTCAGAGAGAGAGAGAGAGAAAGAGGAAAGAAGAGGAAGGAGGGAGGGAGAAGAGAGGGAGGGAGCAAGAGGAAAGAGAGAGCCAGGAAGCCTCAGGGGTGGGCACATCTTCTTCCCCTCCTCCACCCCCACCCCGCTGTGCCTTGCTGGCTCCTGAGGACTGCCTTGTTTGTGTCTCTTTCAGGGACCAGGAGCTGATCAACAAGTGTGGCGATGACGCGCGCATCTACATTGCCTTTCAGTACCACTTCATCGTCTACGTTCTCATCCTCTGCATCCCTTCCCTGGGCATCATTTTGCCCATCAACTACACTGGGACTGTCCTGGGTAGGCAGACACTACTAGCAGATCCAAGGGGTAGCCTAATAGGTGGGACAGCACCTGGGCCTGGGGCCAGGAAATCTGGATTTTAATCCCTCATCTGACCAGTAGCTCTTGAGTGTAGGCAATCCACCCCTCAGCCCCCTCACCTGGAGGCTGGAGAGGGCACCTGCTTTGTTTAACTAAGTTTGGCACATGGCAGCCTCATGGCATCCTTTCAGTCTAGAACTAAGTTGGTTTTTTTTTTTTGTTTTTTTTTTTTTTCAGTTTTCTCCCAGAATCTTTAGGCAGCATGGTGGTCCCAGGCCATTAGCCTGTACCTTGTGGCATAGGTTAGGAAAGGCCTGTGTCTGCAGAGCTTGCCCCCCACACCTCCCTCGTGTGGGGTTGGCTGCCTCTAATATCCTTCCTGCAGGAGAAGGGGACAGAGCAGAGGGAGACGAGTGCATGGCCCCACCCAGGCTATAGCAGCTGCTGGGCCACAAAGCTCCCGTAGCTGGCAGCAGCAGGGAGAGAAGCAGTGGTGGCCAGGGTTCTGCCACCCACCGTGGGGCACACCTGCCGCTGCGCCCCTTACTGTTGTACTCGACCAGTGAATTAACAAGGTGCCACTGGAACACCAAACCCTCAAGCACGCAGAAGCAGCTGAGTGGGAAAGAGTGAGGAGAGTGCCTCTGTAGACTAAGCCTACTCTTGTCCCCACTCTGCGCCTGGCCAGGTGTTTGTGGGGCCCTTTCAGGACACGTGGCTCACTGCAGAGGTCTCCAAACTGCACTCCTCCCTCAACCCACCCAATGGTCATAGCGCTGCATTCACAGAGTTGGTCTTCTAGGACTGTACCCCATTCCCTGTGATGGGGTGCATCCTCTCTACTAAATAGCATTGTGAGTGAGGGCCTAGCTTTGCAGTTGGAAAAACCTTGGTTGCACAATTTTTTGTTTGCTTTTGTTTTGAGGGGTTTTTGTTGTTGTTTTTTGAGACAGGGGCCCACTGTAGAGCTCAGGCTGCCCTGGACTCTGTAGCCCAGGCTCACCTCGAACTTGTGGCGATCATCCTGCTTCAGCCTCTCGAGTGCTGGGATTACAGGCGTGTGCCACCATATCCGCCAATTTTCCCCACACCCTCTCCCTAGAAAATATCTTTGCCCAAACCAAGAAATTAATTAACTACATTGGGCGAGTCAGCCTCTTCAACCCTTGATTTCCTTGCTGTCTTGCGCACCAGGAGAGAACGACAGTGCCTCATGTGGTGCCTGACACAGTATGAGCTCAGAGATCATCGGCAGCATTCCACCAAGAGTTACAGGGCAGACAGGCCACAGGAGGGCTGAACAGCCAGACGGCCCCATGCCTGCACTACCCAGGTGGCAGCTGTCTAGATTCCTCAGGTTCCTGCCTGCTCTTCCCCAGCCTCATATGGACCTCTCTGACTTCAGGGTGGTATATGGTCAGGGCCGCCCAATTCCAGCACCACGGTTAATAACTTTCGACTCCTGTCTTTTCAGATTCTCACCCCAAGAGCTAGTATGTGAACCATGATGGTAGGGTGCAGGCTCTTTAGACACACCCCGCGAAACCTGGAGGGGTCGGAACTGTCGGACCTCACAGGAAATATTCAGCCCGAACAGGCCACTCTGCTTGAATGAGGCAGTGTCCCATGTGTTGGAGTTCTGGGCTCTCTCTGTGGTGCTTGCCGGTGCCGCTAGTCTCTGCCCTGGGGACACCCTGTGAACGTGTGATCTCGCTTTACACCCGTGAACCCCAGTCAACAGCACAGGGACCATGATGTTGTTGGAGTCTGGGGGCAGGTTCTAGGGAGCCAGGAGGAAGAGCAGGTCATAGCAAGCATCTGAAGACTCTGGACAGCCACTCACTCAGGAGCCTACAGTTCTGCCCCGCCCCCGCCGGCAACTGAGGAGCCTCTCAGAGTCACCTCTTCCTTCTCTTGCAGACAGGAGCAGCCACTTTGGCCGGACCACCATCGTCAACGTGTCTACAGAGTAGGTACCTGGCCTTCTTACCTCCCGTCCTGCTGGCTGGACGTTGATAGGAAAAAGGGGTCCAGTGTGTCCACCCATGACCTGGGCTTCAGTGCCAACAGCAGGGCTGGGCTGAGAATCCGGGTCCTGAGCACTTGCTAGAGATTGCTGTGTTTTTGGTGGAAAGCACTCTCAGTGCCTTTGTAGCCCCATATGTGGGGCCACCCAGGTTGGCCACTCCTGAGGACTGGAGAAATGGTCCAGTTCCTTACCATGTTGAGCTCCCAAGAGCTGGAGACCCCATACCAAGGAGAGCTTCAGGGAATTGTCTCCCAGGCCAGCAAGGGCTCACTTCAGGCCTTGTGTCATTGAATGATTTGACCTTCCAGTCCCTTCTACCCCACCACTCTTATTCCTACAGCAGAGAGTTCAAGAGGAATTGCATGGTGGGTTTACGTCCTGCCTTTGCCAGCTGCTGGCACTGGCCCTGGGGCAACACACCTGCCTCTCTGGGCCTCGGTCTGCATGCACAGAGGGGAGGTGCCATGGGACGTGTCTCTGTGCCCATCCCACTCCCAGCACAGTAGCCGGGTTTGTGGATTTCTATGGCAACCAACGTGACTGGTGGTGGGCCAGCCTACCCTGAGTCAAATAGCCCTGCTGTCCACACTGGAGCCCACAAGAAGTCTTGCCCAGCCTTGGTGTCTGCTGACAAAGCTGCAGAGGCAGTTCCTGCAGGTGTGGGCAAGGTTTGCAGGCTCCTCCCTGCCACCCTTCCCCCTGCCAGCAAGCTGCCTAGCCCCCCCTCCAGATCACAAGATGGGTGTGGCTTCCTCTCCCTTGTCTTTTTGAGCTCTTTCCCCAGTTCTGTCATGCTGAGCAGAGCCACTGGTCTCTTCTCTAAGTTAGTCATTCTGAGTGGCTGACACCTTCCCCACAAGCGAATTCTGAAAGAGTTGTAAAGAGCATCATGTGCATGATGGGCCAAGGGCAGGGAGTTCCCCAGCGACCATGGACCCTGTCCTCTGCGGAGACAGAGCTACCAGGCTAGGTGGGGTGAAGCTCGTCAAGGCCAGGCACTGGGGCAGGCAGTGGGAGCCACTGGGAGCAAAGAAGACCTTTCCTCCATGTGTCACATGACAAGGTGGACCCCACTTCCTGACAGTCGCTCTGGCAAGAGGCCCTGGGACAGCATCCCTTCCCTGGGCTGCCAGCAGGCATAGAAACTTAGCCCAGGTGCTTCCTGGCCCCCTGCCATGCCTGCATGGTACCTTGTCCTCCTCACTGGGCCTTCTGGGCAATTATGGGGTGGAGTAGCTAAGCACCTCAGCATCTCTGGATCCCCCTTCTATCACAGTCACACCTACGGATGACCTAGGGCAGGTCACCTGCCACTCTGGCCCTCATTGCCTTATGGGTAAATTGAAGATCATCACAACTACCCTATAGGGCTCTGGAAATCTAATGAAAGAAAGACCTAAAGAACTGAGTCCTGGCCAAGTGGGGAGGTGCAGTGTCATCCTAGCACTCTGAGAGGCTGAAGCAGGAAAACTGCAAATTTGAACCTAGCCCAACTTAGCAACTTAGTGAAACCTTGTCTCTAAATTAATTAATTAATTAATGGGACTGAGTACAAAAGGCCTCGGGTTCAGTCCTCAGTACAAAAAAAAAAAGAAAGAGAGGGTGGGGAGAGAAGAAAGGAAAGAAAGCATTCATTCATTCATTCATTCATTCATTCATTCATGCAAACAGAAAGAATTTAGTTCCAGCCTGGATCTGGTTGTAGTAAGCAGGCAGTCCTGTCAGCGGACGGTAGGGGCCAGGCCTGCTGAACACCACTACCGCCCCCTTCAGGATGCCAGAGAGCTGGGTCTCTAAGGGTGGTTTGGGAATGCTGTGGTGGTAGAGAAGTTCGAGGACACCACCTGGGCGCAGGGTCTCCAGGGGGTCCCGGGTCTGCCAGGTGGCCTCTGGAGGCCCGCCTGAGCACTGCCAGCCTCCGCTCCTCTCTGGCAGGAGCAAGCTCCTGTGGGTGCACAGTCTCTTCGCGTTCCTGTACTTCCTCACCAACTTCATCCTCATGGCCCATCACTGCTTGGGGTTTGTGCCCAGAAAGAGCCAAAAGGTGAGTGTGTGAAGAGCCCCCACCCCAGCGGGCCATTGTCCTGCCTCCAAGAAGTACAGGCTCCGCACCCCAGCATGGCCACCTGCATGGTCACCTGCTCACACCCCTGCCTTCTGCCTGCCCCCCAGTTGTTGTACCCCTGAAGCTTTTTCACACTAGTTAGTGACTAGCTGCTGCCAGCTGCTTCTTGTCCTCCCTGCAGTCTCTCTTCTTTGTCCTGCCTGGGCGCATCTCTACCCTGTGGACCTGGGGGAGCCCTTATCTTCCTCCCAAGCAGACTATGAGGCTGGGGCTTCAGTGGCACCCGTATATTTGGAAGGAATCTCAGGCAAGGACAGTGGGGAGTGGGGATATGGAGGAAAGAGTGCAACTGGTACAACAGGGTACACTGTGGGGCAGCCGAGCAGGTTGGCAGCCCTGGGGCTCCAGGAACTGGTGTAGACCATGCACCCTAGAACACTCCCAGGCTGGAGGTAAGCTGCTGGGGATATTTTCCCCAAACTTCCTGTCCATTGGTTGAGAGCTGTGTTTTGGGACTTTGACTCTCTCCTTCTTGCGCTGGATATAAGCTGAGCACAGTCCCAAAGCCAGGACACTGCCCTTGCCTTCGAGGTATGTCACAGCTTGTGGTGTGCAGGAGTGAAGTCCAAGGGACCGTGGGTGGACAATGGCAATGCTACCTTCCCTGACTGGGGCTCTCTCAGTGCAGGGCGGGGGCCTCCCTGGGGCCGTGCTCTGCAGGAAGATAAACCATGCAAATGTTTGTCCATAGCTGCTTTCAGCCTGCCATGGCCTTACTGAGGTGGGGTCTGTGCTTTCGAGCTTACTCAAGGACTGAGTCTCTTTAACCCTCCCCAAAGTGCAAAGCCACACTCCTTGAAGTATGGAGGCTTGGGCAGTCTGGACTCAGCAACTTCAGCTTTTCTTATTGTCATCAAGTGCTGCTGCCAAGACCCTCATCTCTTGCAGCATGGCTTGCTAGACTTGGTAAACGTGGAGGTGTTAGCTCAGAAAGACATTTTCTACCCAGAGAATAAAAAAGGAACTTTGAGAGAGGATTTCTCAGTCTCTCTCCAGAGACTTACTGTGTTAGTTTTTCATTACTGTAATGGAATACCTGAGATAAACAACTTAAAAAGAGGAGACCTTGAAAGGTTTCCTATGACTCACAATTCAGGCCTGATGCCAGGCAACATCATGGCAGGGAAGGCTGCTCCCCTCATGGCAGCTGGGAAGCAAAGAGGAGGAGGAGAAGGGGCCAGGTTAACAGCGTCCCCTTTGAGACACACCTCCAGTGCCTGACACCTCCTATGAGGCCCACCTCCTAAAGGTTTCCAGTTTCAATTGTGAGTTCCCAGTAGAACCAAGCTAGAGTCATGCGCCTTTGGGAGATTTCCAGGTCTAAGCCTTAGTATCCCTTGTCTCAGCTGCCCTGTGTGGCCGATGTTAAGGATTTTCCTGACCATGTGGGGCTTTATGCTCAAAGAGCTGGGCTGGCAGGGGCACCTGAAGTCCCTGTGGGAGCTGCACTGGAGGAAGCGCTGTGAGCCGCTGCTCTCGGCCATGGCCTGTGGTCCACCTACTGGCCCTCCTCCTGGGAGGTGATAGCTCAGAAAGACATTTCCTACTCAGAGAATAATTAGTACTGCTCTTTGAAAGCCTCTGGCTTGCCCACCCTTGTCAGCCATCTTGTGTCAGGACCCAGCAGCTGGAACACAGAGAATAGGAAAGACACCATTTGCTGATCCCAGGGCTGCATGGCTCAGCTGGGACAAAGAAAGCCAAGGAGGCTGGCTTGGGGCTTACTCAGCAGGGAAGCCCCAGACATCAGGCAGAAGACCTGCTCCCCAGGGGTCTGGGCCACCAAGAAATGGTGGGGTTCCTGCCCAGACAAGCACAGCCTTCTTCCTCCGTCTCCCCACCCCACCTAGGTCACAAGGACACTAATGATCACCTATGTGCCCACAGACATCCAGGACCCGGAGATGATCATTAAGCATTTCCAGTAAGTGGTGTAGGCAGGCCGAGGTGTGCATCCCCTTGTCCTGACAACCACACTTGGCCCTCATGTGGGTTTGAATTGGCCCAGGGTGGTGGGGCTAGGGACACCCCTAGTGATGGCCCTCCCTGGACTGAACTCAGTGCTGGCTTTTCAGGATGGGGAGGGCTGCTGGAGCAGGGTTTTGGATACAGGGACTTTCTGTATAGCAAGGCTGTGAGGCTATACATTCTGGGCCCAGGCACCCCCACACCATGGCCAAGAGGCTGTTGAGGCCTCTTCAGTGACCTAAGGGTCCTGGCCTGAAGGATCCTGTCCACTGAGCTTAGTACTGCTCTTCGAGCAGCTCTTTCCTGGCCTCCCACTGCTCAGAACCTTTCCTGGGGTCTATTCTTTTTTTTTTTTTTTTGCGGAACTGGGGATTGAACTCAGGCCCTTGCGCTTGCCAGGGAAGTGCATATTCCACTGAGCCATCTCCCCGGCCCCTGGGGTCTATTCTTGGTCATCTAGGAAGGTTGAAGCAACTCATCACCAGGGTCCAAACCCGGAAGGTTGTTCAGCCTTTTGAGCAGGTTGCAAGGCTGTCCCGGGCAGCCACACCAGGAGCTCCAGGGACTGTCACCCCCCAGCCGCACCAGCTCAGTGTCTGTATCTGGCTGCAGGGAGGCCTACCCAGGCTGCATCGTGACCAGAGTCCACTTCTGCTATGATGTCAGGAACCTGATAGACTTGGACGATCAGAGGTGAGACCTCAGCATGGCCTGTCGGAATCTGGGATGGGGCTGCGAGGGGCAGGGGATGCTCTGTTGGGCCCTTATTGCTCCTCCCTCATTGCCTGGCTGACAGGCGCCATGCCATGCGGGGCCGGCTCTACTATACGGCCAAGGCCAAGAAGACTGGGAAGGTGATGATTAAGATCCACCCCTGCTCCCGCCTGTGCTTCTGCCAGTGCTGGACCTGTTTCAAGGAGGTAACCCGCAGAGGTGTGAGGGTGGCGGGGCAGGGTGCCCTGGGGCCCAGGGCCTATTCCTTCCCTGCTCCCCAGGGCTATATTCCAGTACCACCACCACCATCCCCGCTTGAGCGAGGCTCCTCCCTTCCTTTCCACTGAGCCCATCTCCCTGCTGAGCCTGTAGAGGAGTCTCTCTCGAGCCATCTCCAGAGACAGAAGGGCCAGAGGAAAAACACAGTTGGCTCCCTATGCTTCTCAGATGCCCAGAGACACAGGGCAGAATTCAGTGAAGGGAACACGTCCACCTTATCCCTCAACCCCTGGGATAGAAGGGGGCTCAGGACTTAGACTCCAGAGCAGGACTGGACTCCAGCCAGACCAGGAAAGGAATTGCTCCCTCTCCTGACAAAGCTCAACATTCGGTTGTCTCTGTGGGGTTTACTCAAGTCTGAAAATGCCCCCTTTCCCACCTTGCTGTGCCTCACTGCCCCCAGGCCTAAGGGCAAGGAACGAATGACAGCCAGCCTTTGGCTGCTGTAGCGGTGGCTTCAAGGCCAGCCCTCCCTTCCGTACTGCTCAGTGGACAGGGCCCCAAGTCCAGCAGGGCTTTCCTGGGACCCCGGCCTCTGGCTCCGAGAGCCGCCTCTTGCCCCAGGTAGATGCAGAGCAGTATTACGGTGAGCTGGAGGAGCAGCTGACTGACGAGTTCAATGCCGAGCTCAACCGAGTGCAGCTGAAGCGTCTGGACCTCATCTTTGTCACCTTCCAGGACTCCAGGATGGCGCAGCGGTGAGCACTGCACCAGGGGCTTGTGGCCCCCTCTTGGCCTCAAGGCCGGGCCTCTGCCTCTCTACCTCCATCCTCTCTGATCCCATTCCAGCCTAGGTGAGGAGATAGAGCCTTCTGCCCGCTGCCTGTTCTCAGCTTCTCCCTGTTCTATCTGGGCAGCGCCATCTTGCTTTCCAGAGCATGACCTTATCTGTTTTCTGAGCTGCTAGGGCTCAGCTTGGTGCCCCGAGCCCTCCCTCTCTATGTTCTTGCTTTGGTCCAGAGGTGGTCAGAGTAGCCTTTGACCTCTTGCCTTCTCTTCCAGGTCTTTCTAAGAATGATACTCATTTTCCCCTTGATCCAAACACAAGCAAGCCCTTCCCTTGCCACAAGTGAGAGGGTCAGGAGAGATAAGCTCCACCTATGCTTCCTTCTCTCCTGTTGTCGGCCTCACCTAATCCACAGCCCTACAACCCCTTCCTCTTCTGCCTCACTCTCTGGCAGCCTCATCTCAACAAAGAAGAGGTCCAATCTGAAATGGTCCGATCTGAAATGGTCCAGGAGGATCCTTAGGTCTGGACCAAATAGATGGGAGCTGTAGATTAGTTCCCAAAGGATTGTTGGGGCCTCCTGGCCTGGTGAGAGCCTAATAATGCATAGCACTGTGTCCTCACCCACCCACACTGTATAAGAGTAGTGGAACACCCTAGATTTTAGGGTGCACCATTTTACAAGTCCCTTCTATTCCCAAACATTTTATCTGTGCGGTATCATTACTGATATTTGCTCTGTTCACCTCCCGGAGGATTGACAAGGGATATACGTCATCTATCTCATGTGTGTGTTATGATGCAAAGCAATTCACCTACACATAATAATACTGTTCATTTCCTGAGATACTGCCATTTGATAGAGAAGACTTGAGACTTAATTATAGCAGAATATGAGTTAGACGGTCAAAGACAGGGCACCAGTACCAGCACCACCCTCTTCAGGGGCATCGCAAAGTACCTCAATTTAGGAATCTGCAAATGAGATTCTATTAATCACCAGTGAGCACAGTGTCAGACACGCAGGAAGAACTCAATAACTGGGAGCTATTGATAGTAAGGCAAGGCTAAATTAATACTTCCCATCAACCTCAAAGGAAGAGCACGTCCCTGCTGCCCTTGTGAGAGCAAGAAGGCAGGGGCTGAGAGCCACACGGCTGTCTCCTTTGTCTGGACAGACCAGCCACCCTCAAGTGTCCCTTCCCTCCAACTTTGGGGCTTCGGAGCTGTCCACAGTGGCCCTTCAAGGCCACTTTGTGATCCTTCAAGGCCTTTCCTCTGTCTCCTTCCCCTGTCCCATCCGCAGCGTCCAGGAGGATTACAAGTACGTCCATTGCGGCATGCCCCCGCAGCAGTCCTCAGTGACCACCGTTGTCAAATCCTACCACTGGAGGGTCGCTGAGGCCCCACACCCCAAAGACATTATTTGGTAAGCCTCTTCTGTCTCACCCTCTCCCCTGAGCTGTCATCTCCGGCTGAAGAAGACAGCAGGACAGGCTCCCTCTCTCCTACTTTATTGCCCCACAGGGAGGCCCAGTGTTACCCAAATTCAGTTCCCCCTGGGCTGTGCCTTGTACTTCCAGATTGTCACAGCCTCTAGAACTCCCAAGCTCACCCCACCTTGAGCGTGGAATGCAATGCTCCCAACCCTTGGGGGAAGTGTCTCTCCTGCAGAAAGAGCTCAGATCCATCTTTTGTTCATTTGTGAGATTCGTTCTAAGCCTTTACAAATGGGGTGACTAAGGGAAACGCCCATGGGTCATGGCACAAAAGTCTGGGTGCATTAGACCAGGGAAGCCGGGATCCACAGCTGGCGTACAGGAAGGAGCCCAAGGGCCCGCACTGAGGGCTGCCCCGAAGTCCTAAATGCACTTCCTGCATCCCTCCCCAGGAAACACCTATCCATCCGCCGCTTCAGTTGGTGGGCCCGCTTTATCTCGATCAACACCTTCCTCTTCTTCCTCTTCTTCTTTCTCACCACGCCTGCCATCATCATCAACACCATCGACATGTACAACGTCACCCGCCCCATCGAGAAGCTGCAGGTGCCTCCTCCACTCAGGCGGGGCTCGGGGCCCCGGGAGATCAAGGAAGAACACAGGCAGGGATGGGATGGGGAAGCCTGTGTACTGCTCGCCGGTGCAGTAGAGGCTCCTGTGCTCTGAGTGCGCTGAACGGGGGCCACTGCCCACCTTAGGGACAGGGACTGGAGAGGAAAGGGAACATGGAGGCAGGTCCCGGGCTGAGTTTGGGGGTGGGTGGTCCAGTCATGAGGGCTTAGCAGGCTCTATTAGATCAGGTCAGGCTGGGCCGGGGGAGGCCCAGAGGGCACAGCAGTACAAACAACTCTGTTCTCCCCAAGCTTTCTAGGGCTGACTATCCTGATATTGTTGAGGGCAAGGGAGAGTGAGGTCAGTCCTAGTGGAGCCCTTGGAGAGCAGGGACCTTTGGGTCTCTCTCTACCTCCCTCACCTCGAGATACCTGCCCTCTCAGCCTACAGGAGTAGGAGCCGTCCTGAGGGTAGAGGACACACCTCCAGATGGGGCACTTCCCCACGCCTGCCAGCTTCTAGTCCTGAAGCCTCCATGCGGTCCTGATGAGCTAGAAGGCTCCTCCTTCTGCATTGCCCATTTTCTGCCCAGCAGTGCACACACACACACACACACACACACACACACACACACACACTGAGCCAGGCCACTTCTTTTGCTCCTCTGTCCCCTTCCACAGTCGGCCCCAGGTCACAGCCTCAGTAGGGGCCACAGCCATCCCTGGGGATTCCTCTCTCCCCACCCTCGATGCCCCAGCCCCTCGTGCAGTCAGTGTTGTCTCCCTGAGCTGTGTGACATGAGAGTGACAGCAGCTGGCTCTGCTGCTATGAGTGAAGTCACCAGGGAAAGCTCAGGCTGCCTTTCCAGTGACCGAAGCAAAGGAAGTCTGGTCTCTTGGGGACCCCACCTGACCTTAGGGTGTCAGCCTTTTCCTCTCTCTAGCCAAGTGGACTCGGCCCAAAGGGACTCAGGAGCAGCAGGCCTGCTCTGTCTGAGCTGGAGGGGAGAGGCAGGAGTAGGGGAGAAGCCAGGGCGGGCTGCCAGAGGCAGGGGCCTCTTGCACTGATGTCTCTCTGGCACACCACCCCCTCTGCCCCTACAGAGCCCCATCGTGACCCAGTTCTTCCCCTCCCTGATGCTTTGGGCCTTCACAGTGATCTTGCCTCTGATAGTCTTCTTCTCTGCCTTCCTCGAGGCCCACTGGACCAGGTGAGCTGGGCCCCTCCTCTCCCAGCCCTGCTCCTGCCCCCAGCCCCGCTTCGCCTGTCCCCTACCTGCCTGCACTGGGGCCTCCATCTGGCCCAAGGATTAGAACGGCTGTGGGATTCTTTCGATACCTGAACCCATCCCACAAAGACAGCAGGTGTTTACTTTCAGAAAGAAGTGCTGGGTCATTTTCAGGACTCTAGCCTTGCAGATACTGATCAGGGCTTTCATCTACAGGGAGTGGGACCAAGAGCAGGCCCCTCTTGGGCTGTGCCTCCAGCCCCCAGCTCTCTGCGGCTAGCCTGGAGCCGTAGGCATGGGCTAGGCAGGGCCAGGCGTTCCAGGCAGAGAGCGCAGAATAAAGGACTTGCTCACAGAGGGTCACGTAAGCAGCTATGGCCCTAGCATGGGAGCTGTGAACTCAAACTGATTGTCGGCACATTTAGCCTACCCAGTGCCAGCATTGCAGACAATGAGATTTTTCCTTCTATATCTCTAATGCTACTGTGGTGGCAGCTAAGAGGGCAGAAGTATTTTCCCTATCCCAAGCAAGGGCACTGCTTTCCTGAGCAGGCTGCATGGGTCTCAAAAGTCATTTCCTGCACTCAAAGTCCCTACCATTCTAGCAGGCAATAAGCCACAAGGACTGTAGTGTCAGACAGCCTTACTGGCCTTGCCCCTGGCCAAGAGCAAGGATGGTATTGAGTACTGAGATTCTTGAGGGATTCGTATATCACTGGTACTGTCTCTTTGATAGATCAGTATCCAACATATGACACACGTGTGCCTTCCTCCCTTTCCGGTGCCCAGGCAGCGATCACTGTTGGTGATGCTGTTCTCTCTTGCTGCTCCCAGGGGCAGCACCACTTGAGGCGCCCAGCTGAGAGGGCCATGGTGCACCCGAGCCACTTTCCCGCCCAGCTTGCTTCCCACCCCACCTCACACCCTGCTGACCTCCCCTCTCCATTTCCTTCCAGATCCAGTCAGAACCTGATCATAGTGCACAAGTGCTATATCTTCCTCGTGTTCATGGTGGTCATTCTGCCCTCCATGGGCCTGACCAGGTACCTCGCTCCTACTCATTCTAGGCATCTCTCGGTCAGGCTTGCCCTAGAGTTGAAACATCCTCTTTCAGAGTGCATAGGCCTTCCTGGGGTTGCTGAAAATGCATTCTTCACATGACAGTCTGCGCCTGTTGTGGCATAGCTTGAGGCAGCTAGGGGCAGACTGTATCGGCCGTGAACTCTGCCCTAGCTGGCCGACAGTCTAAGGGGCGCGAATGCAGCTGAGAATCAGTAGAAAGTCAGAAGAGGGATATAGCCCTGCTAGAGAGGTGGCTGATAAGGGTTTGCTGAGGAAGGCAGCCTTCTGTCAGAAGGCTAAAGGTCAGGTGCAGAAGTAGCCAGGAGGAAGAAAGAGGGGGGCCATGTGCGTGGGCCAGCGGGAAGCACGCGAGGGCCTTCCAGATCTGAGCTGAAGAGGACTGAAGTGGGGAGCCAGGCAAAGTGGAATCACGCCCTGGGCCTGGGCTCACGTTTCACAGACTGAAGGGCTGGCCTTGTTCTTGCTTCTAGTTTGGACGTCTTCTTACGCTGGCTCTTTGACATCTACTATCTAGAGCATGCGACCATCCGGTTCCAGTGAGTACTCCCACTTGTGTGCCAGGGCTTCTGGGCGTCCACGCTGGGGTGGGTTTGCGTCCCCTTCCCCAGTGTTGGCCCCTTCCCCAAGGCCAACACTGCGCCGCTCACAGAGGTGTCAACAGTTGTACCTGAGCGCGCTCATTACTCTGGCTTGGGTCACCTTTGGCAACCTGGTGAGGCGCAGGGGCTCCCTGGAATGACGCTTGTGAGGTTGCAGCACCACGGGCCCTCATTATCTCAGTGATAACATTTGTGCAACTGTGTGTGGTACAATATAAAAACCAGGAAACTGTCATTAGTACAATCTAGAGAGCTTATTCAGAGTTGCCCAGTTTTACATGGAGTCAGAACACAGTATGTAAGTGCACAGCATACAGGGCCTGCCAAGAAAACCAACTATGCTGAAACATAGTTATCAAAATATTTTTACAATAAAAAGTTGTGAGACAGTATTAACGTGTCAGTAACAAAGCCATTTTAAATACAGGCAAATTAGTTACATTTTATTGTTTTAAAGACATCAGTGTGAAAGCTGACTTTACTAGAATAAGACATTAAATTGTGGAGGGAAGAGAATGTTTGAAAATGCAATGTGTGGATTATGTTTAACGTCAAGGTAATTCTGATTTTTTTTTCTTTCTATGGTGACAAGTGTTAAAAATCTCAGTTTTCAAAGATAGGTTGTAAATGGCAAGATGTGTCTATTATTATAATAAGATATTTTTTCCTCCTGAAATGAACAGGTTCATTTTTGGCTAGACAGGTAGCTTCAATACTGTTCATACTTGAGACAGGAAAGATTTGTGAGCTTGGGGCCAGGGAGATGGCTCAGTGGAATAAGCACTTCCCTGG